CTGCGCATGCGCCGCGTTGACACATGTGCATAGGGCATTTACGTTGCCGTAACGTTTACGCGCACGCGCATGTGCGTGGCGCAAGTGCCGAATACGTTGAGCGTTCGCGTTTAACGTTAACGAACGGTAAGCTAAAATTACAATATCTATTTCAGTTAATTTTGATGCTTGCGTTTCCTAATCTCGAATTGGATGGCAGATTATTATTTTTGCAGACTGTAAGAGCAATTTTATAAAAGTAAACTTGAATTTCGATTATGTCAATTTCCGATCTGGAGCTCCCCAAAGGATCTACAAAACGAAGTATGTCTCGATGTCCGTCAAACAAAAAGTGGAAATGCTGCAAAAAATGGATAAAGAATGAAGGTGACAGAGAGTTAGGGAAAAAAACGAAAAAAAATTTCGATTGACAAGTTAGTCGGTATTCTCGGCACAGCAATTATAGGACTTGAACAGCGGAACTTTTTAACTAACAAGAAATTATGTCCGTTGTTTATAGAATTAAAGAGAAAGTATTATCACATAAAACGAAGCAACTTACATTGAAAAAAATGTTTAATAAAGTAAACAAATAAATATTAAGCTTTTTCTTTTTGTAAATTTTGATACCCTTTAGATCATAATTGTTCTTTATTTCATAAATTATGGTTTCATATTTTTAATTTTGTAATTTCTGCATGCCATCTTACGAGATTTAAACTGATAATCTATAATCTGGAAAAATCGATAATCTGGAATCTCCGAAGTCCCGACGAGTCCGGATTAACGACTTTTGACTGTATATCACTTTCACAAAGACTCTTTTATTATAATATGAAAAACTATGCACAATGAGTGTAATTAGGTGATAATACATTAATTAAAAAAAAAAATTAAACCCCAAACTGGATGTTTCATGGAACAAATATCGTAGCAGCTAAAAATGTCTTTCAATTAATAATAAGATAAGCTAAATTACAGAATACTTAAATATGATAATTGAAAATTATTTCCTTGCAAAAATTTACTCATAATTTCTGTAGCTGTTATTAAACTTAAATGCTCTCTCATTTGTAAAATATATTCAAATATTATTTTAGATGCTTTTTTAATCAGTAATGAATTCTCAAATATAAAATTATGAATTTCACAAAACTACATGTGACGAAGTACTAAAAAGTGCAATTCTTTAAAAGAAAGTGTAAAACTGTATAGCAGCACTGTGATTTATAACAGTAATTAAAGGTTTTTATGTACTTCTAAATTCAATCAGAACATTACCACATTTCGTTTGCTGCCATACATTTTGTCAACAGTTGTCAACAAATGATTTTTAGCTGCACTGTTAAAAACAAAACATATTACAAATCTTTCACAGCAATAATCTACAGGAATGAGAAATAGAACTCCTCCACTGCAATTTTTCTAAGGTAAATGCTAGATGGGGAATCCCCTGTTTGCGGTTGGTATGGCGTGTATCTCTTAGCGTTAGCTTGTATTTCCAGTTTGCAATCTGCACTAATTAAACAAATGTGTGCCTTTAAATTTGTGTATTATCACACTAATGTGTTTACGGACAGATGCTATAAATTCGGGTCCAAAACGCGAGCTGTAAAAAGTCGGGACAGGAACTGAAAATTCGTGTCTGCCCCGGGAAATTCAGGACATATGGTCACCTTATTGTAAATGCCAACAATATTGCTATCTGTGCCTTGGAGCCTTATTTGAATATTGTTTGATTCTGTATCATGAAGTGTTAATGCCTATGTTGCCCTAGAAGTGTTTTTAGTTCCTATTGAATAGCCTGTGTATTTAATTATACAGCACATTACATTCTTGGCATTAAAATTACTTATTTGGACATAAATACCCTGTTCATATATCTATTGTCATCGCATTCCTCCTTCTTCATAGTACTGCATTTTCTCTGCCTGGTAGTATGTCTATTTTTGTCATTCATGTATAATATATGATGAAGCATTTAATGCTTGTTTGTGATATCATATTGGAAATTGTTTCATAGTGTAAATATATATTGCATGTTCTGTTTTGTTGTCGTGTGCGTAAAATCATAATTTCCTTTTTCCTAGTTAGTATATATATATATGTAGGTTCATAGTGATCTAATCTTTTTTTTATGTAATATTGGGTTTAAAAATAACCTGCTAATTAAAAGGTGGATGTAAAGTATATGTTTTCTAATAGCGTTACAGTTTTAAGAAAATGCAGGTTTTCTTAGTAATTCCCAATGTTATTTAGTTTAGTAATAATTGTTGTGGTGTCTGGATTTCTATTCAATTAGAAGGCTAAATGTCACACTCTCCTATCACTGTGTGTGTGTGTGTTGGTGTTGAATAACCTAAAATTCACTTAGTTCGAAAACAAGCTTTTCTAATACTTGCACAATAGCTGCAAAGTAAGATAATAATAATTTATTTACTAATGAAATATTGATTATATTATCTCCTAATATAAATTTAGTATATATCTATGAAAAACTGATATTTTTTTTTTTTAAAGTTTGATAGTCACTTTTACTGGATTTCTTGGAATGGTAGTCACTTTTATTGTATTTCTTGGAATAGTTGCCTTTATTTTGAAATTAAATAAAATGAAACTGATACTTAATTGGAAATTATACTTTCTGCCATGAATCTTCTAATCTCTTAATACAGGCCAGGTCTGCAGAAGTCTTTACCTGGCTTTTATTTTTGGAACTGTTAGTTGTAGACATTTACTTCCTGTTACAAGAATGTTTTAAATGATGCAAAGATTGATATTTTTGTGTTTTAAAATTAAATGAAAATTAATTTTTCTGTGTAATATGAAATCTAAATTTTTATTCATTCCTCCATTCTCTATGCTTATATTTAGGAAAATGTTGTACTTATTATAAAGAATGAAACACAAAACATTTGACACCAGAAAAAAAAAAATGAATGAGATATATTTCGAAATTTGCAATTTTGATGTCATTTTTCAATTTGCAAATTGTTCGAGGTTGGTTTTTTTCCTACTAAAATGTCATTTACTGATATTCTTTTGCAATTCACTGATGCATATTGTTCTTCTAATTTTTAACTATACTAGCAGAAGTACTCGATGGCAGTTAAGTTAGAGAGTAAAATATTTAACAACAGAGGGAATGATACCACTGTAATCCTTCTCTAATAACGATGCAAAAAATAAGATTCATAATCATACATTTTTCAGTCTGATGCAGTATGGAACCTGCATAAAAAATTTCGATTGAAAAATAAGCTTATTCTCTCTTATTATATCAGCAACAATGGCTCGCAGTTTTTAATGATTTTAGTCTTTATAATCAGTTGGTCATAAAAGCTCAAGTTTCATCCAATATTTCACCTATATTCAATTTTAGTCAATGAAATATGACAAAAAATTGATCATAGTGATTTAGAAATCAATAACATAAACAAACAAACACACAAACAGACGTTATTCCTGAAGACAGACAATTAATTCTACATAGAAACAGACATTCTACATAGATTTTGTAAAACTTACAAATTTTTGATTAACAAAATGTATGATTCGAAAGTAAGCAGTAGCAACAATTTTCTAAATAAAGCATTTTTATCTCCAACGCGAAGACTGTTGCCACTCGGAAAAAAGAATGCGAAAATTAATGTTTTTGGAGTTTTTAATTAATATCTCAGCTGATTAAAGTCGTATGAAGATGGGAATAGTGGAAATGGCTTCCCACAAATTTGTGGAATCGGGAATTATGCTATTTTATTTCATCATAAAACTTAGAAATTTTTTATTAACAAACTAGGATTTGAAAGCGAGCAGTGCAAAACTTTAGAAATAAGCAGATTTTCTCTCCATTGCGAAGCTGTTGACTCTTCGAAAATTAGGGTGAAATTATCATTTTTTCCCGTGTATTTTTTAAATTAATATATTTGATTTTAATTTTTTTTTTTTTTTTTTAAGTGGGACATGGATCTTTCCAGGACCAGAAAAAAATTGTAGAAGTGTGGTTGATGATAGCTGTAGTATATGACTGAGTTTTAGAGGACAAATGATCCAACTTTCTTTATATGTATATATATATATACAATATAACTTACAGTTGGTATACTGAAAGAATTGCCACAAAAATAATTTGTGAAGTTCTGAGATGTTAGAAATATGTTACTAATATTATCCTGCAGTTTTATTACCTTAGAATCCTAATGCAAAAATCATACAAAAAGTTCATAAAAAATAGAAGTATTTTTATTTTTGGTAATTTATGCAAATAAGTTGGCAGTATGACAGTAAAAATTGCCATTGTGTTCTGCAACAAATTCTATATGATTCCATGAATAAGAACTCTTGTCTAAAAAACAGTTATATTGATCAGTACTTTTAATGATAATAGAAATGCTTGTCACTTAATTAGTTAACCTAAGGAATCTTTCCCTTAACTGTATTTTATTTTTAGTTTACAAATGTGAATATTTCACTCATCAGTTTGTATGTGGTTTGTGAATATAATATCTATCTTTAAAAGTAAATATTTGGTGAATTTTCTTCATTTAGGAGTAATATTTTTTTTGTATTGTATTATTGATGCGTACTATAAAATTTTCCAACGGAGTTATGAATGAGCCAATAAAAAGGCTAGATTGATAATTTTAACAAATTAGAATTTATTAATTTTTAAAAATTTAAAAATGCCAAATAATACATATTTGCATCATTTATAACATTTTTGTAACTGGATGTAATTTTAAAACATTTTTTGTAACTTTTGTTCAGTAATTTTGTATATATTCCTAAATGTCTTTGACTATCAGTTTCGAAAATAAAGGCTGGGTAAGGACTTTTGTGAATATGATATATTTTACGTAGTAAACTGTTGTCCTGTTAAATATATATTGATATTTAAAAACACTTGTGAAGCAATTTTAATTTTCTCATACTAGTATCGGTTTCTTATAAAATATTGCTGAATAAGGTATTAATCATATTATAATTTATTTGTATGTATATATGTATATATTTTCTTTTAGAGACAGAATTCCCTTCTTTGGAAGTGCCTGCTCCTCTGACATATCCTACAGTAACAGATGTTAGTAGCTCATCTTATGTTGAAAAAGAAGTCCACAATCAAACATTTACTCCTGTTTCAGTTTCTATGACATTTTCTACTGATGAAGAAGTGCAGCGCTCTTATGAGAGCAGTTATCAAAGTAATGCTGCTTCACTTAGTGTTCCAGCCACCACAGATTCTATTAAATCTGCAACTGCTCAGAATGAGAGAAATGGTAATCAAAATATCTCAGTGCTTGCAAGCAGTGATGTGGCTGTGCTTGCTTCTCCTGTAGTAACTGGATCTCAGTCATTAGCAGTACCAGCTTCATTTATGGAACAAGCATTTATAAATTATATGAGCAATGACGCACATAATGAACTTCCTCATGTATATGGGATTAATTACAATAACCTTTCCCAATCTCAAATTGCACAAAATCTTCAGCCTACAAGATTTAGCTTAAGTTTAGGATCTGAAAATGACTCAATACAAGAACAAGGTGTAATTTCTGGCTCAAAAACTTTATGTGATAATACATTCGTTAATACTGTTCAAGCACATGGAAATTATTCTAATTGTGTCGTTACTAATTCCAGTGTGGATCAGAGTGTACCTGTAAACAGCAGTCAGGCGGAATTTAGCATTGCAGGTTTGTGTGCAGAATGTGATAATAATCATGAGGAAAATGCTTTAAATCAAGTTGGAGATGAATCTGGAGAAGAGATAGAATTTATTTGTGAAACTCGTGGAACAGTAGCTAACACTAGTAAGTAAAACATTTAGTAGTAAAAAATTATTAATAATTAAATCTCAAATTTTTACAGCTGATTATTAAAAAATTGCATGTGAATTAGTATTTGAATTTTTTGTGCTTTTTCTATGATTTATGCTGTTTTAAAAGATAGGTTTTTAAACCTCATTTTGATCTAAAGAAACCAACATGTGAATAGCTTAGCCTGAATTCAAAGGAAATATAAAAAATGAGTTTCTTTTAATGTTTTGTTTCATTGTTTTGTAGGTAATCTATAAAACTTGTAATTACTTGTACAGAATTTATGAATTAGTTCAACATGCATGGTCAGTCAAATTTCTTTCACTGGGACATTGAAATTTTGAGATGTGAAAAATCGAATTTCAATAGAAATCCTGCCTAGATAGACAGAATGACTGAAAAAGTTAAATGGTTATATTCTTATAAAGGCTAATTCTTATAAAGCATATTATTATTCAGAAAAATGCCCCTAGTCTATTCTTCTTCTTTTCAAACATTTGTATTTGAACTATGTATTTGATGGGTTATCACTTGAATTCATTCCTACTTCTAATATTAAGTATGCAATGCTGAAGTTTTCGGTGTGAGGCTCTACCTCGATTGAAGCATCGTTGCTACAAAATTATTTCTTTTTTGGAAATGAAAAGTCCTTAAAACATATCAAAAGCAAATTTTCCCTTTTAGGGGATATGAATTCTTTTGTTATGCAATGCCAAATTTGGCAATTTATCAACATTTTGGTGATTTTAAGTTCTTGTATTATAAATTTTTGATTGAGGTATGCAAATTCTTCACTTTTTTTTTTTTTTTGTTTGTTTTGTTTCCCCACACATAAAGCCATCGATCAGTGTCATTATAGTAATGATAGTATATTAAAATTATATTTAAGAAATAACTTAAACATTTTTATCTTCCTCTGTCATATATTAAAGTGGCATTACTTTCCATTATGGCGAATTAGCAATATTTTGATTTTGAAAACTAAATAAGATAATAAAAACTATAAAGCACATTTTCTAAAACATTTCTTAGCAAATACAAAAAAGCTACTGTAATAAATTTAAAATTCTTTTATATTTTTCATAAGAGTTTCCTTCGTGTAATTGTTTCAGAATTACAGGTGTATAAATTTTTTCTGTAAAATTCAGTTTTCTTTCTTAAAATTCACTTCACTTTCCTTTTCTGAATTTTCTTTTAAAAAATCTTCTGGCTTTTGGCTCGCAGTTGGTATTAGGAGAAATTATATATCACAATTGGTAGAGATAATTTATCTTTTTTATTTAGGTTCTTGAAATCTCTGGATTAAGTTCTTGAATCTCTTCTATCTTGAAAGGTTTAGAGGGATTTGAAGACAAAATTTGTAGACCTAAGATTCTAGAAAAAGGTGACAAAATGAAAATTGTCTTTGTGTGTTAACACATAATGAATATGTTTTACAATGTGATGGATTTATTTTTTGGAGAAAATTAGGAAGAAAATGAAAACAAAATTATTCGAATTTCCCACTTTTGATCCTATAAGTCTTCCTTTAAATATGTTATCTTCCCTTTTTGTTCTTTTGATATGATATGGAAAAATGCAAAAATGTTTTTAATTTTGTATCATGGACAGGTATTAGTTGAATTTTTCTGTTATTAAAGAAATTGGGAACTGCAGGGATCGTACGGTCCTTGAGTTCTTAGGTTTTTTTGGAATGGATTTCTGGTCCATAAAAGTCCTTAATTTCCTCCAAAATTGATAGAAGGTCCTTAATTTTAATGATCTGAAATTTCTGTCTGTTCTCATGCCAGCCATTTTGAGCGTGAATTAGCTTTTTGGAGGAATGTTTTTTGTGATTTACCAACAAATATGGTTATCTTTTGAATGGGTTTATAATTTGTTCCTATTTCTAATATAAAGGGTGTGATACTCGAGTTTCTGAGGAGGAAGTGAAACATAAGCATTTCAAAATTATTTCATTTTTTCTAATGAAAAGCTCTTAACACTTTTTCCTTTTGGGGGATGTAATGTTTTTATTAAATTATGGGACTTTAGTAGAAGAAGTAGGTGGCAGAGACGCACATTAACACAAGACAACATTTATTGATGGCACAACGCATAATGAACTTATACATACCCTTATTTAGCTTTGAATCTTGGGATGCAATAGTGCTGGATTTGGCGTGACTTAAACAAACATAGTTAACATAGGAACTCAAATATTATAGCATTGCTTAAATAAATAGACATGTTATGTATGTTTAAAACTCCAATACACGACACCAATAATATTTGGACACCTATGCAAATGCGTATCTGCGGTCCATGTACGTCACGGACTCCGCCGTATATATCTGTAGGAATAGCATGTCTTAGTCGCATGCAAGATGCTCGCATTCGGAGCTCTCTGATTCAAGAAGGTGATAATTATCGGGTATCACATGTGCCCTCCTTAGGGACATATCTAAGCGATCTGAAGTACCGCAAAATCACTGGCCTATGTGATTAAGAAGTGGGAAGGTGAGCGTGTTGTCGGAATGTGCCCCTGATCGGCAGACGACCAGAAACTGGAATAAGCTGAAGAGTGCTGTCCAGACAAATTCAGAAGACCGCCCACCCACCGATGGCCCTCATCCGTGAGGAGTTTCAACAATCATCCGGGAGATTGTTTCAATGAATACATCCGTAAGGAAGCAGTCTTTGGTTTTGCAGTTTGCTGCTGCCCATGAGCCTTGACACAAGTCCAACCAGCGTTGCTTGGTAATGTGGGCAAAGACATCGAATGGGACCGTATCAGTGGGGTCTTTGGAGGGACAATCAAGGTTCACCCTGTACCATTCGTATGGCAGGTCGGGGCGTCTACGGAAGAACGTCTCCTGCCAGAATCATGGGCCAACAGTCAAGTTCGGTGAGTGGATTATGTCTGTGTGTTTCTCTCCTGTATGGCTGGGACCTGGGGCCCCATCAGTAAGCTCAACTCTGATCCTACTGCGCTATTGGATGAGTGTGCTTCCTCGTTTGGCAGTTTTGCGGTTGGACTTGTTAACTTTCAGACGACAGGCCATTTTGTGCCATGGGTCACGAAGACTGGCTGCCCAAGACCAGACCTGAACCCTATCAGACCTCGAATGAGTTGCCTCGCCGACTTCAGGGTGCCTCCCGGGCAAATCGGTGAGGACTTCGATGTCTTCTACGCTGAGTGGAAGAAAAACCACTAGCTGTCATACAGATACTTATGTAAAATGCCCCGGAGGGTCCACCTGTAATTCCTCTCGTGAGGCTCTTACCACTATTGATTTTGAATAAAGTTACTTTTTCTTTTCTATCACAGGTGTCCAAATACTTATTGGTAGTCAGTGTATAACAGTTATACAAACACAGCTTAGAGAATAAGTGTTTCCCCGCATAAATCAATAATGTTGAAATAATCTAAATTACAAAACAAAATTAAAGTCATAATAAAGAAACGAAGTAATATATAGTTCAACAACTTGTACTTATACATATGCTTACTCAGCTTCGAATCTTAAGGACCAAATGTCGTACGGTTCATAGCAAAAGCAAAACAGCTATGTAACTAATTTTTCTTTAGGATATTAGACTTGCAGTCTGGAAGATTAGAAGGATTTAAATGCAAGATTTATAGACATGGTTCTAGAAGATTCCAGAGAAATGTGACTAAATGAAAAATGTCTCCATGGTATTAACATGTATTGGACGTATTTTACAGAAAGTTTGTGATGAATTTCTTACTTTTTGGAGAACGTATGGAAGAACTTTGAAAACTGAATGTTTGAATTTTTTACTTCTGATACTAGAATCTTTTTCTTAACATGTTTATCTTCCCTTGATTTTCTCTACTTTTTGCTGGACACAAGCATGGAAAATATCAAAAATGCTTATTTATCTTATCACATGGACAGACATTATAGAAAGAAAAATTTTTTACTAATAAAAAAATTTAAAATTGACAATTTAAAAAATTCATGTAGTATGTTCTAATGCATCATACACAGGGCTGGCACTAGGCAGTTCCCCCACCTGTTGCAATCTCTGTGGGTCTTGAATCCTGTTGCCTAGTGCCTTTCTAAATTTTGCTTCCAATGCCTGCTCTAAATTCTAAAAGTTTTGCTATTTCTAGATTTTGTTGCTAAATGTGTCCCTAAAATCTAAAAATTCTGCCAATCTCCCAGACTTAAGTGGGAAGGACACACCCTAAGAAGATAAGATACCCTAAAATACCTGGAGTTTCTCATCAACATGAAGTTAACCTGGGTAACTCATCTGACTGCAATTCGAGATAAAACAAGCATCTTGTTAAACAAATAGAATAGTGGATGCTAACTGGAACTTAAAAGGAAGACTGCTGAAATACCTTTGCATAAGAGGTATTGAGAGAATGATCCGGTATGATTGCCCAATTTGGATGACCGGCACGGCGCGAGTTAACCAAAAGCTCCTACAAATAGAAAGAATAGTGTTACTGAAGCTAACAAAGGCTTTTACAACGACGCCGACAACTGCTCTCCAGGTGCTAGCAGGAACCCTGCCTCTGGACCTGAAAGAAGCAGGAGAACAATGCATATATAATGTCTTGTTCATCACAAGACAATAGATGGACTGTTAGATACCAAGTTGGGTGACTTCAACATCGAACCAAGATTCCACACCCACTCGACGCACCTGGTCTACGTAAAAGAAACAAAATGGACAAAGAAGTTACCAACAGGACACTCCCTTGAAACCTTCACTGATGGATCGAAGCTAAACAATAAAGTAGGTGTGGCCTTCGTCACCTTTAATAATGAAGAACTGCTGCATTCAGCCACTAAAAGACTGCGATCACGTTTCAGTGTTTCAAACCGAATCGAGAGCTCTTAAAGCCGATCAATTCAAGTCAAGAGATATAGCATTGTATACGGACAGCATGAGCTTCCTTCAAGGCCTTAATAAGACAGGAGTTGCACCACTCCATATCTCAGCCCCTGAAGGAGGTCCTAGCTACCCTAGGTGAC